ATTAAATTTTATTTAATTTAGGACCAAATTGATAGCATATATAAATAATTAGGTGGTAACATGTGTCACCAATGACACGTGTCATGATCATGTGCTAACACATGTCAGATCCTAATTAAATGATTAATTTATTAAATTTTATTTAATTTAGGACCAAATTGATTATATAAATAATAAAGACTGAATGTATAATAATACCAATTCCTTTTAACTGCCACATCATCATTTTTATCAATTGGTAACGACTAGTGGCTTAGTTGAAACTGTTAAATAATTATGTGGTATGATTGATAAATTTAAAAGATCGATGACAAAAGTAAAAAGGGCTAGATAGTTAAGTTGTCAACCGAGTAGTTTACACTTTTATTTATACGTCAAAATAACATTTTATAAATTTAAAATTCGAATTATTTTCAACCTCTTCTATATCCTAACTACTTTTTTTAATTAAAAAATTTCTTCAACAGATAAGAATTATACTATTATATTTATATAAAAAATACGTATCACATGAAATAAGATGAAATTAAATAATAATAAATTTGACATAATTGAATTTAATTTAAGTATTTTTGGAATTTAGGGTTTAGAATAAAATTGAATTACTTGGAAATTGGGGTTTAGAATGAAATTGATGACTGTTTTGCAAGTTTTAAAAGTTGGGGGACCTAAATTCAAGTGACTGAAAAGTTCAATGACCATTTATATAATTTATCCTAATTTTCTAACTGTGGTTTAAGTTAGGGGACCATATTGCAAACGGAATAAATGTTGGGGGACTGTATTGCAAGTTTTAAATGTTGGGGGACCTAAATGCAAGCTTCAGAAATGTTCAGTGACCATTACTATACTTTACCCTATTTTTTATTGTTGTTCTCTCAGTTTAGGGTTTTATCTTAATTAATTTGGATAGACCTATGTCGCACTCGCACACCTAATGTTGGTGGATGAATATTTTAGCGGAGATTTTCTACATGTACAATAATTCAAACTCGAGATCTGATTAAGCGGTATTAATTTGCTTACCACTTGAATCAACCCTCGTTGATTACATTCATATACTTTTAATTATTATTTAATAAATAAATAAATAAGATATATAACATTCATATATTGTTAGTTATTATTTAAATAAATGATATATATATATATAGGTAGATTAAGATTGTTCAGTATCAAACAACGGTCTAATTTTAAAATAGGCTTAATATAAAAATAAGTGTTTAAACTTTACCTCAAAAAACGATTTGGTATCTAAAGGATTTTTCACTAAAAATGGTGTTTAACGTTTTTTCAGTTACACTTTTAGGTGCCCGTTATATTTTTTAAATTTTTAATAATAAAAATATTTTTTTAATAAAAAATAAATAAATTAAAAATAATAATTTATTTACAAAAAAACCCCAAAATTTAATGAAATTCTAAAAAAAATTAAAATCTCTCATTTCAACTCGTTACCAATTGTGGAACGCCGGAGGAGCACCGACAAGGATGAGTTTTGAGTGGAACTATACGGTGGTTTGAATGGTGGTGAAGGCGTGACTTATGGACGTCGGGATCAATCGGAATCGACGAAAAACAGCGATGGTGGCTTAAAATCCGACAAACCTTCGAATGGTTCTCCATAGAAAACGGTGGCATGTTACGACGAAAGGTCAACGAGAGTTTTATCGAGGGTCGACATCGGTGCCGATGATGGTGGCGGTGATGATCACCGTCGACCGGCTGACTCGGCATAGAAGGGGGAAGTGGGAGAGGGGAGAAGGTAGGGGAGGGGGAAGGTTGGTGTTGAAGAATCGGGTAAAGTAAAACGAAAGAACACAAGAATTTAACGAGGTTCAGAAATGTGCTTACATCCTCGGTGCCTAGGCGGCGCTATAAGTTTTATTCAATGTCTCATAGGTTTATGTTACATCTCTATTTATAATAAATAAACTCTTGTACATATTTACAAATATAATCTTGTACCGTACTGCAGGGTTACGCCCCCGCACCCCCAACCTACATAAATGTAACCCCCACTACGAGACTTTCTTTGTAAGGACAGTTGATGTTCGCTTCTCTCACTCCACTCCATCTTCTGTCCTATTTACCTGTATATTTATGAGTCATACCTAACAGTTGGGGTTTTTGCTAATTTTTTTACAAAAAATATATTTTTATTTTTAAATAAATTCTCAAAATTATCAAAATATAACACGTGTCACTTAACGATATTTTTAACGGTTGACACCTAAAAATATAACGTTAGAAACATTAGATATTTTTTTTAATAAAAAATTATTTTGACACTAAAACGTTTTTCGAAACAAAATTTAATCACTTATTTTTTTATTAAGCTTAAGCCTTTAAAATATTATTAAAAGTTAAAATGTTAAATGAAGGGGCAAGTTAGTCAATAGAGACGTTTTGAGACAAATTGGTTGGAACAGACAAATTCTGCACACAAACCGTGGAGGGAATCCTAGGCTACGAGTAAGGTTTTATCAAGAAGTAGAGTAAAGTCAATAAATTTTAAATTATTTAAGTTGATAATTATTATTTTATAATTTATTTTTTTAATTAATCACTGATCAATCTATTGACAGATTAATCCAGATCGGATACTGCAGAGGCGAGGGCAACCCTCCCAATCCAGTTTGCTCTATTTGAAAACACCAGGATTCGAACCAAGGATCTTGTGGCTCATTCTACTAGACCAACTAGTTGTTAAGGGACCTAGTGCCTCAATTTAGTTTTTTTTTAAAATTGAGTTGAATTTATAAAATTGTGTCGGATCAATTAAGTTATTCGAGTTTATATTTAAATTTAATTGTAAATATTTATAATATTAAAATACTATATGATTTCAATTTAAACGATTTTTTATAATTATATACAATACATATTTTTCTTCATAACTTTTCATATGTAATATACATACATTATACTAAGTCGGGGACTCTATTCAACCAAAAAACTAATATACTAATTATTAAAAGTTTTGAGTATTCGAAATCTATTTATAACTTGGTTTAAATTTTAAAAAAATTTAAGTCAAGTCAAATTTATAAAATTACAACTCAATTAATTCGAGTCAAAATTTTTCGAGTGAAAAAACCAAGTTTTCAGGTCGAGAGATCCATATTTAGGGCATTGACGACGTTTCAACTGAAACATTGGATTGTATACGAACGGTTCAAGATCATGCATCAGCCAATCGCATCATCGACAAATACCCGCACCCCTTGAATTGATTGTGTTTATATGATAATATTTGTATAAAAATATTGAATTTACTTAATTTGAATAAAAAATAGTATAATTATATACAATTAGGAATAATAATACACAACACGAATTTAGATATTTGATATTTTATTTTATAAATTTAAATGTTACAAATCCAAATACTATAATCACTGTCCATAACGGGTTTATAGTGGATGTGCATATCAATAATTGGATATAAATAATCAAAATCTATATTAATTACCTAACGAGTATTGACATAAGTGATTAAGATTTAAAAATTTAAGTTCGTAAGACTAAGTTCGAATCACATTACCGTCATTTCTGGTGAACAATCTAAAATTCTTATGTAAATCCCAATTAGGTTTATAAATTCTATGTAAATCTCAATTAGATCTTAAGTATATCTTGACCGGAAGAGCATTTGGTATGCAACAAGACATGCCAAACTGCCTTTCATGCAAATTTTTAATTTGGAATAGAAACTACGGAGATATTGGCCATCATCCAAAGGCAAAAGCGTACTTGAAGGGTCCCCGTTCCACATTAAAAAAAGTTGGTTCAGTTAATGGTAATGCTCATTGCCCCTCTCCCCATCTTCCTTTAAAAAGTTGGTTCAATTAAAGGTAATGGGGCAGCTAAGCTGAGTTCCAACTTATTTTTATGGGTAGGGTTCCACCCTAACACTGTTATCAAAACAAAACCAAACATCCCTAACTCACTCACTTCCCATCCTAACCTAAGGTTTTGGCATGAACATTTGGAGAATTGTACCCCCCCCCCCCCAAAAGGGAAATTACATGCTTTCCTAGGGTGGATTCGAGTCATGTACTGACGAAGCAGATATCCGGTTTGAAACTCTGAGGAGTTCAGCAGACATGGTCTGCGGTTAATTTGCATGCTTTGAGTAAATCCTGCAATCGAAGGGGAAAAGTTGTCGATTGCATTTTAGTCCCGAGCTTTGAGCTTCAAGGTTCGGCATTTCAAGCGATGGAGATTTTATGCTCTAAATTCACAAATGCCTATGCACGTGCCATGCGAACCATTGCAGCATTCCAAGACACAAGGTGGTTCATAAATGTGCTCACGTATTTCGCTTTGTCGTTCTGCTTAGAAGAGGCAATGACGATTTCAAGAAAATATACTCGTATTGGAATCGTATATTGGGGAGAGTAAGTTAAGAGACAATACAGACAAACAAACAAACTGTCAGCCCCCTAGTAGCATGTTGGGGAGAGTAAGTTAAGAGAACGAGAGAAAAAAAGAGGTTACCTCCCACATATCCAAATTCAAGATGGGCTGCACCAGAAGATGATGGTTAAACTTTAAGGTATAAAAGATGGACAGAAATAAATAGACATAAATGTGTAGGTTGACACTTGACATACAAAGTCATCCCACACAATTGGATTGATTAAATTCGACGATTACACCAATGCAAGACGTTTTTCTGCCTCTTCACTGAAACAATCAAATGAAAGAATTAATTGCAGAGTCAACTTGTTAAGAGACCAATCATGTTCCAACTATATGATATCTTTGTCAAGTAGAAGCAATTGAACCATTATTGAATCATACCGAATTAAAAAAAAGGAAGCAAAATAATGAAAGAGAAGCAATGAGAGAATAAGAATCACAAGGGAAAACATGTGTATTAAGTTATCACTCGAACACATGGGCCTCCGAGTCTCCGACTACCAAGAATATGCAAGGGCTAATATAGGGAGAATGCAAGCTATGGAAATGAGAACTAGGCACCGAGCAGAGGAATAGTTCATCGATAATCAAACAGAAATTAACTCAAGAAAGGACTTACAAACAACCCAAACCCAACCCGAGCCAAATAGTGAGAGAGCTGTTTCCATAAACTTCTCTCTGAAGTTTGTGAACGACCCAAAATCTTTTTCAATCTGTTCAAGTAAACCAAGTTTGGGCATGCCCCCACCTCCAGGTTGCATAGACTCCCAAAACAAGTAATGGCTCCACACTTGCAATTGTAAGCTCAAGTGTTGATCCTACATTAGATGCTTTTCCGACTTCAATGGACAAAAGTATATTACTTCAACATGTTGAAAACAAGTTGCATTTCAACACTACATGGTTAGAAGTTTTACTTCAAAGCGATAAAATACGGATAAAGATTCAAGACACATTGGATGTTAGAACCATACGAATTCAAAAACCATGTAAATTCACTTTTAGGGATAAAATGCTGGGTTCCTAAAACTTGATCATCAGTGGATGCAGAGACCCAAGATTTTGTTTCAACCGAATAATATTTGAATGAGAACGACACATCGAATACAACCGAACAATTCAAAGATGAACGGTTGACATTGTTATACCTTGTCTGCGTTGTTGAATTCAGGTATGGGGTTCCCATTGTTGTATGTTGCTTTGACAAGTTCTTCCATAGTGTAGCCATACAGTATATCACTTTTGCCAAGCTGTTTATTCAGGTCATCCACAAAGCCACGATGATGCACACCCCAATGCACCTCTAATGCCCTCTTACTCATACATGGTTCTAAACCATCCTGCAAGAAGGTAATGAATGCAGATAAGTCTAGGAAGCGACCATTCAAAGAGCCACAAATTGCTACATAAGTCTAAGGGTGTAAATGAACCGGGCTTGAGCGAAAAAGGCTCTGTTTGTGTTCGTTTGTTTATTTTTTTTAAGGTGTTCGTGTTCACTTAGTTTAATGTCCGTGTAACATTTGCGAACTTGTTTGTTTATATGTTTAGGAAAAATGGTGAAATTACACTTATAGTCCTTAAGTTCCTTGTAATTCACAATTTGAATTCTACAGTTCACGAACTTATAAATATGTCGATAAACGAGCCAATAAATAAACTTTTAAACGAGATTGATCGTCAACATTAACGAAGCTAAGGCACCTTGTTATTGCCATTTTATTAAATGAACATTAAATTCATCTAATACTATGTTCATTTACGCTCCTATACATCCCAAGTGGTTTACAATATGAAAAATTAACAACAAAAAGTAACTAAAAAGGGGGAAAAGGGCTCACTGACAAGGTTATAAGGAGGATTCTTTAGTCCATAGCAAGCAACAGTTGCAGGAACTTTCTGTAACCCGTTAGAGTTTCCTTTTCGCTGCTGCCGCCGAATACATAAACGAAACAGTACATAAAACATGGGGAAGAAAGAGTAAGAATTTACTTACCGAAAGTACCGAAAAATACAGATATAACAGAATATTGAAATCGAGTGCAAATTGAATCTTTCGAAACATATATTTATGTTAAGAACAAAAAGGGGTATTTGAAATGGGAAGCGGCGAACCAAGTGAGAAAACTTGGAGCTTTTGAGAGGGAGAGTGAAGTCGGTCCCCAGGAGATGACAAGCCATTTCTTTCCTTTGTCTCTCGCTCTCGCTCAATGCGTGGCTTTGTTTGGATAATAATATCAGGAAATATTTAATAAATATGAGTAAACCTTTGTTCTTCTGGACTGGATTGCAGCATAAATGGTACAGAGACGAATGAATCAATTTTAGTGGTTAAAATTAGGGTAAACTAAATCACTAAACTATGGTCGCATACATTACCCGAATGAATTTTTTTTAAGGTATTAGTGTATTAACACGTGTCATATTTTAATTTGATAGTTAAATTTATTTAATTGAATTAAAATAGTGACTAAATTGATAGAATATGTAAATATTAAGAACCAAATATAAAATTATGTCAATTTTATTAACGGACATGTCATCACCTCCGTTAAAAATTAATGGCCGATAATTTGACTGAAATGTTTCAATAATTGGGCGGTCTGATTGATTCAATTGAAACTTCAGTGACCAAATTATTTTTTATCATAATTTATTGATCTCACGTGTAGTTTTATTGTTATCTTTGAGATGTGAGTTTGACCACAAATATAAAGTATATAAGTTTGTTTTATATTCACTTCAAATGAACTTGAAAACAATTTACCATACAAATTAAATTTGAATTTAAATCATCTTAAAATCAAATATTTTTAAATTCAAGTTAAGTGAATTTGGATTTTTGAATTTTTATAAATCAATTGATTAATCAAATTTATTTATTTTAATAATAACAACTTAATTTCATTAATAAAAATAATATAATAAATTAAATTACAACACATTTAAAGAGAAAATTGAAGATAATAGTAAAAAAAAATTATACATAAAACAAATATATTAAACTAAAATTACATAGAAAAATGAAATTATCCATTGAGAACATAAAAAGAATTCAATAACCTTAAAAAAAATTGTCTATTAAACAAGATGCTTTACGAAGTGATAAAGGAGTTGTGAGTGACCCAGATAATTTGACAGACTGCTTCGTTATACAATTATGATTATATCGGAAAATAACCTTTTACCAAAGAGAAGATCTAACAATACATAACCATCGACAAAATCAATTAGAAAACAAATGTAATGAGGATCTTTGTGCAAGCACCAACACGACCGCAGAGATATGCAAAAAAATACCAAAAATCGTAAGGAACATGCCACAAGAGTAGAAAAAAAGCGTATAACAAGAACCTAAAAAATGTATAACAAGAATAGAGAAAAATGTATCACAAGGACAAAGATTTTTTTTTAAATTGAAAAAAAAACTCAAAAGAAAAAAAGAAAAACAAAGGATATAGTGATTTAGAATAAGAAAAATAATAATCACATTCAATCGACAATTAATATTAAAATTGATGTTGCCGTCAGTTAAACAAAAATCAAAGGAGAAGAGGAAGGAACACAAAAATACTGAGAGAAAAATCTGAATTTTAATTTTAGAGTGGTAATACAAGAAATATAGCATTAAGTAGCAAATAAAAACATGAATGTCTACAATACAAGTCAAAACAGCAGCTGGACACATATTTCCCTCTGTATTTGGCCTTTGATTCTTTACTCGCTTTTGAATCAACTGATTCAACAACAACCTCCGCTGGACTAAAAACATGGATGCTCCGGGAAATGATATTCCGAATCGTCTTCTCTCAATGCCGGATAAAACAATAGCCTGCACCACATCACAAGCATCCTAGCAGCAAGGTCAAGCAAGTCGTGCACACACTTGGCTAAGCTATAAGGTGCAGTTGGTAGTATATGGTCTCCGCCCTTTCGTCATCAAGGTCAGCGTAAGAGCCAAAAATCCCCTTGAGCAATTTTCGACCACCGGTTTCCGTCACCAGCCCGAACTTCATATGGAGGATCACAAATTATTCATCAAACAGCTATGTAAAAGCCAGAGAGAATACTTGAACATCTAGCATTCAGAATAGATTACAGTAAATGGACCACAAAGGTTACTTTCAAACTTGATTACATCAAGGACTCATTATGATGACATAGCAAACTGAACATATGTATCAGGCTACATATTATGTGTTTTTTTAATTTTCTTCAACCAAAACAATATTCAGAGGAACTGTGATAAACAAACATAGAGGTGGAACAAATCAAATGCAAATAGCAGTAAAGAATGCACTAACATATTGTTATACTCAACATGAAGCAATGTTTACAAGAAATTACTTCCTTTAATCCGGGACGACGAGTAAGATTGTTATCCGCCTTCAACAAACCAACCGGCATCGGCAATCCGCATTAAAGAAGATGCAGGGAAAATGAGCAAATAATCTCATGCAGAGTCATTGCAGGTAGATTTAAGGAAAAAGGAATTACCAGTTATGTTACAAATTAACCTGTTTGAAGTTGCTCCAGACATTACGGGCAGGGACACGCCGGACGCACATTACTCGAATGTCAATATCAGCACCCTGAATGAATTTAAGCAGTTTGTACCCATATTACTGCAAAGATTTTAGCCTAATTGTCGAAAATTGTCCCGAAACATAAACTTTGATGTCCCCATAACTCACCTTCATCTCCTACGTTCATTATGTCAACATTTGTACTATTAGAAAATCAGTTCAACCGAAAGAGGTTTAAGAAAATCTGTATACAGTTAAAATTAAAAGTACATGGTCTTTTAGTTATACAAAAAGGTAACAAATCCTCCATAGAAACCTAACCTTTGCTTACTAAAAGAAAGTATTTTATGGGCAATAAACTGAGAAGGGACCATAAAGAATAAAGACTAACCTCCCATCTCCTACATTATACATGGGTAAAATGATCCCCTAAAAGGAGCAAAAAGCACCATACGAAAAATATTTGGAATAATCACCAAAATCTGACATCTGAGGGCCCCCATGATTTGCAAAGGCATTGGCATGTGCATTCCTTCAATAGACAAAGGCCACCATGGCCCAACCCCTTGAATGAAAGGATATGGTGGCCCCAATTTCCTGTCTAAGATCTAAATGGCTAATTAAGTTTCTGGGGATTGGGATAGGGATTTGAGATGGTCATATGACATCTTAACACAATCCCCAATTTTTTCAACTAGACATTTAATCCCCAATGGGAAGGGAACCCCCCCCCCCCCAATAAAAAAAATCAATTATTGTGACCTGCCTGCAATTATTTAATATATAGAAACAAAGGTACAATTATTAATATTTTTGTACTCATTATCTCTTCACTGATATTTACTTTGTTCATTGCTGCCCTCTCTAATTGTTTTTTCCTTCCTATTCAACAATTTATACTATCAATCTTCATGTCCCCATTTTCTTTTCCTGGAAAGAAACTGCAAATTCCTTCACAAACAATGCAGTCACCATCTTACTAGCTCTTTTTCGCAAGCAATCAATTTCAAATCATATGATGACTTGGTAATCGACCCCATGAAAATGCTGCAACTATTGCAGCAGTTTATGCTTATTCTTATTCCTCTTGGTATATTATTATTGAAGATACTAATTTTTTTTACCCATTTTATTATTATTATAATTATTATTATAATTATTATTATTATAATTATTATATATATATTATTATTATTAAAAAAATAATTACAAACAGGCCCATATTATCTGGCCCAATTACAAATGGCCCAACTAAACCCTAACAGATTAGGGTTTGATCTAACCCTAGCCGCCTCAACCATCCACCGTTGGATCTGATGAGATCCAACGGTCCACAGATGCGCCAGATGAAACCCTAGGGTTATGATACCCTAGGGACTACGCCAGTTGCCGCCGCTCCACGTCGCTCCAGCCGCTGCCACGCCCCTAACGAAGGCTCCAGAAGTTCCAACGCCAGCCGTCCACGTTATGGCCCTAGGGTGAGTCCCCACTATGGGTTCGATGACTCACCGAAGGGTACTCTTTTACCCGGTTCGATGGCCACACCGGTGATGGCTATAAAGCCATCACCCAATCTGCAAAGAAAAAAAACCCCAACAGGCCACAGAGAGATAAAACCGAGAGCAAAGATACAAAAATAGAGACCAACTCACAACAACCAGCAACCAAAAACAAAAGAAAAGAAAGGAGAGAAGCTTACCGAGGAAGCCACGACCACCAAACCTCTTCAAACGTCACCAAAACCTTCGAAAATCGAAGGTACTTTCTTAGATTTGCTCCGATTGGGAGCTTTTTAAAAGAAAGGAACACCGGAACCGTCATTAGGACGGTCCGATCTACATAGTGGTGTAAAAATAAAATTTCCCGGCCACCGGATGCGATGGCCGGCGGTGAGAACTACGGCGGCAGACGGCTGCCGCCCGGTGACCGGCTTCCCTCCGATGAGGGAAGCTAGAGAGAGGGGAGAGCATTTCCATTCTCTCTCAGTTTGAGAGAGAATGACAAAAAAAAATGAATGCTGGCCCTTCGGGCCAGCCGGTTTCGGCTTAAATAACCCTTCCCGAACGACGCCGTTTCGGGGAGGGCTATTTGTGTAATTAAATAAAAGTTAAATCATTTCCGCAGTCATCCTAATTTGTAAACTTTACATTTTAGTCACTAAATCAATTTATAATTCTTTTAATTCGGGTCTTTAATTTTAGTTTTATTTATTTTAGTCCTTTATATTAAAATAATATATTTAGGATAAATATCATATTTAGTCCATTAATTTTAATAATTAATATTTTAATCCCGAGTTTATATTTTTAATTTATTTTAATTTGATATTCGAATTTTATATAAGTTTATTTTAGTCACCAAATTAATAAATAAGGAAAATAATATGTTTAATCCCTATAATTTTAAATAATTAATTATGAATTAGGTATTTAATTTTATTAGATTATAATTTAGTCACTATTTTTAAATATTTTCATTTATTATAAAGTTTTATTGCTTTTAAATATATAGTTCTAATTGTATTTTTTATTTAAGTTTTAATTTTACTTGTTTACATTTTTAAATATTATTTTTATTATATAGTCATATAAATATATATACAATAAATAATAATTTATATTTTACATAAATTATTTTTATCATATTTTAATATTTATTTATTTTTCAATATTAAAGAAAAGGGCAGTCTTAATACAACTGGATGTCCTA